TTCTCAACAGCACCATCTGCCATGGAAATTTGGATGGTCATATCTGTGTGAATGGAAGAGAGGATGAAAACATCCCATTTGTCCTTCCACTTCACTGTGAGCAATTCATAGTTTTTCAGGCAGGCTTTTCCTCCCTTTCTAATATGGTTATTTACAAGCCGTTGGGGGAAGCCCCGACTATTTGGTCGCACGGTGCCACATAAGCCAATTCTATGATTGTACCCATGTCTAAAAAGTGGCACGCTTGTATAGAATTTGTCCACGTATAAGTGGTAACCCATATGGAAAAAGGGTGACACGAAGTCCCAAACTATCTTGCCACTGCTCCCCATGTGGTCTGGGCATCTGGGGGGCTCCATGACTATCTTTTCCCTTGTAAATCCGGAAACTACATTTATAGCCTGTTGCCCTCTCACAGGTCTTATACATTTTGACCCCATATCTGGCACACTTGCTGGTTAGAAATTATTTGAATGCAAGGCGGCCAGAAAAATTATTGAGGGACTGTTTTCCTGGGAGTATACACATCTGCAAAATTCTGGTTAAGGTGATTTTATGAGGGGCTGAATTTTGTAGAGCCGGTCAAATTCAGGGTCACCCCTAAGGACGACAGAGTGTATTGTCATTGAAATGCATAAATCGCATTATATTCTCATATCTATGCCTGGCCATGGCAGCAGAGAACACGGGCATGTGATGAATCAGGTCTGTGGACCAATACAACCACAATTCATTCATTTTAGTAATGCCCATGTTGAGGGTTAGGCCCAAAAAAACTGTAAATTCAGAAACCGTAATGGTTTTCCATGCAAATGGCCTGGCAAGGTTTGAATTTGGGTTGGTGGCAATAAATTGTGCGTATAAATTGCTTTGATCCGCAATCAATCTATATGGATCTTCTGTGAAAAACCACTTAAAAAAATCAAAGGGAGTAGTTCAATTTGCTTTTTCTACCTGAATTCTGGGTTGAGCAGTGAATGGGGGAAGTATGGGTGATGCAGAATTTTTGGGCTGCCAATCAGGATTTACAAACACATCTAGGACACTATGGGCTCTACGGGCCTGTTTTCGAATTCTTGGTGGCTGTGGGACACTAATTGTGCTAGCCACCACACCAGATTGTACTGCACTTATGGGACTTGCCACATCACCAAGTGATATTGCAGTGCTGGTATGAAAAAGACCAGGATGTACTAGGCTGCTGTGCTTGCCAGTTCACCAAAAACTAAAGCGGCACTAGTACTGACATCTGCTGCATTTGAAAATAATCATGTAATTGTAACACCTGGGAACGAGGTTGGGTATGCCTGACCTTAGCAGGGACCTCTAATCCATCATCCTTGCTATTTGTCAGGGTGCCGCTGCTGCCTACAGGTTCGTATTCTGAGTCTGATTCTGTTAGTGAGGCTTTCCCTTCACTCTCATCTGACATGGTCAGAATCCTGTAGCCCTCTTCACTAGAGTACCTTTCGTTGGACATTTTGATCACTAAATTTATAGGTACCTAGTGCAACTCACAGAAAATAGAGCACCTGGCTGTGCGGGACTGCTACAAAAAAAATCTACCTGCTAGTGCTATCAGAGATCAAGCCTGATCTTGCTAACCCTGCAGTTGTGTGAAATTTATCAAGTGACAGTGATCTACTGACACTGTACTTGCGGGGGGAGAAAAGGGGGTTAGGGAAGGAACTAAATGCAGGTCCAGGGGCTGATCTTACTGTGTTTTTGGGGACACTATGCTATTGTGAATGCTGGCATAGTTCTGATCTGATCAAAGATATTGATCTATTAGGACACTATACTAGCAATAGAGGTTTATTGCATATGTGAGCGTGTTCCCAGCAGTCAAAGGGTAAATGTGATGACTGATGTAGTGGCTGGTAATCTGGTGCTATCTGGGAAGGACGCCAACTGATGCGAACGGTATCTGAAGTTGGCTGTGACACTAATACAGTGATCAGTAAAAAAAAAAAAAAAATCTGTACACTGTACTAATGACACTGGTGACAGGGCATCAAAGGGGATAACTGGGGAACTATCAGGAGGGTTAAATGTGACATATCAGTGCTTTTACTGTCTCAGTATAGTGATTTGACTCGCGTGGATCCGTTTTCTTCTCTCTGTGGAATGACGTACTCCAGGGAGTGAAGATTTATTTCCTGTGCCTGTGTAATGTAAACACCGCCACAAGATCTGTGATAGGGCTGAACATCACTGACCTGAATCTGCAGAGTGATAGGTGCTGCACCTAATCACAGCACCGCTGGGTCGGTGGGCACGCGTGCATACCTCCTACTCGTGAACATGGCGGCAGCATGGATCACATTTATAATACATGATTTTGCGTAGGGAGTCAGCCCTGTAGCCGTAAACCTGCTATAGGGAGGAGCTTAAGTGGTTAATTAAAGTTTTCTGAGACTTTATGTAAAGTCTTACATTGTTGCAAGTTCTCTCAGCAGAAGACAAGCAAATCCTGGAATACATTTCAAGCAACACTGTACTTCTCAATGCAGTTCTCAGACAAGAAAAATATGCATTTCTAGGGGAGCATGTGCGGCCGGCTCCGAGATGCCAGCTAAGTGAAGAGAGCTCCTGTCAGGGATCGCCGCGATGCTCGTCCCGGCGCAGGCGCAGTGCGCTGCCCTGCACAGGGATACGGGCACTAGGCCCAGGCCGGCCGCGGCGACGAACTCGCATGCGCACTAGGGTCCACGGGTGCGCGCCTGGCACCAATGACAGTGCAGGCCGCGATATTTAAATCCCCCTGAGCTGTCACTGGCTTCCGTTTGGTCTTTCCTGTTCCCTGATCTGTGTGTACCTGTGTTCTGATAAGTTGCTGACCCGGATTGCTCCTGACATTGCTGTACTCTCCTGCCCCGACCCTTGGCTTGCCTGACCTCTCTCCTGGATGCCCCCTGTTGGTTCTGATCTACTGTTGCTTACCTGGCGTGTGACCCGACTATTCTCTGCCCGCTGTTTTGTACCTCGCAGACACCGCGGCTCCCGACTCGGCTCATTTGACCCTGCACCTGCTCAGCTATCCATCCCGTCGGGATCGCCTGACCTCCTCATATCAGGCTCTTACTCTGCGGGAGCCCTCAGCAGACGCCTCTACCATTGGTAAGTGTGCCCAGTAGTCGCGACCTTGTCTCGGTGCGCTCCAAGTCCATCCCCACCATCAGGGGCCCTGGTGAACAAGTGCTCCGGGACTTAGATTCCGCACTCTGGAAGCACCTGACCAGTGGAGTGCTAGAGGTACCGCCGGGCGGTCCCTTACAGCTCCGTCCCGCCGCCAGCTAAAACCCGGCTCACACCGGACCCAGCGAACATAAGACTTTTCCACTTACATCAGGGGACACCGAGGGATACAGCACTCTGCAAAAACATGCCTCACTGCCGCAAATCACCGGGGCAGCCAGGGAAGCTGACCAGCTTCTTCCCAGCCCTCAGCTCCTGCAGCCAAGATGGCGCCAGCTGCATGCAGAATGGTCTCCTCATACAGACAGAGGAAAGTGCAGCACAGGCCACGGACCCCAGGCTCAAGGCACCACTATACCCGGGTGAGTCCTCTCCGCCCCTGTCTCCCTCTACTAGCAGTCCTGCTAATTCCAGGCCCAGACTGGACATAGACCCTATATCTGATCTACAGCCTTCCTATCCACCTACACTTACTGCTACTTCTACTCCATCTTTGATTGAAAACTTTCCTGCTTCTGACCAACCTATTACTGAAATTTCAATGAAAAGTATGCTTCTTTCTTTGCGACAAACACTGCACGATGATCTGACAGCAACTTTATCTCAAATCTCAAACGCGGTACAAAAACAAGATTACCGTATTCGTCACATTGAGAACAAAATGGGAGAAATGTTCACGGCACACAATGACCTAATAGAGGCACACGCAGACCATGAAGCTGACATAGAACAAATTAATCTTAAACTGGCAGATCTAGAAGACCGCTCCAGGCGGAATAATATTAAATTTCACGGTATACCGGAATCTATCACTAGATGCCATAGTTCCCTACATCCAACAATACATGAAGCAGCTCATCCCTTCTCTCACAGATGTGGAGCTCTCCATAAACCGCGCACACAGAATACCAAAACCATCATTCCTACTGCCCGCAATACTCAGACACCCTAGTGCGTGAAGGAGAAAATGATAGCTGCTAGAAACCCTACCTCAATTCCAGCATGCCAAGCGATTATCAAATTATTCGCTGACCTATCCAAAGCCACACTCCTCAATCGCAACAAGCTTGTCAGCATAACAAAGGTACTGCGGAATCATGGAACTTGCTACCAATGGGGTTTCCCCACGAAGCTCACTGTTAAACACCAAGGAAGGCTCTATACCAGCGGTTCTCAACCTGGGGGTCGAACGACCATTTCCCAGGGGTCGCCTAAGACCATTGGAAAACACATATTTCCGATGGTCTTAGGAACCGAGACACCGCTCCTCTGACTCAGTCGATGTGTGGGCGGGATGACACGCTGCCCTGTCACCTGGCCACACCTCCGGGATCCCTCAACAACTCCGCCTCCTCGCCGCTGATTGGCCACCCGAACTGTAGCTCAGGAGAGGCACACAGGCGGCCAATCACCGGCGAGGAGGTGGAGCTTGGAGAGGAGGAGCCGAGCGGCAGCGCGCGTAGATCTAAGAAGATCGAGGGAACTGCCGGAGTAAGTGAAGAGGAGAGCGGCCAGAGAAGGAAGACAGCTGACAGGTAAGTGAGAGAGCGAGCCCAGGCTGGAGCAGGGGTCAGCAAGGTAAGTATCATTGGTGTCAGTGGGAGGAATAGTGCCCCATCATTTGTGTGACTAATACCAACAATGGGGCACTATTTCTCCCACTGACACCAATGATGGGGCACTATTTCCTCCCCCCCCCGCACTGACACCAATGATGGGGCACTATTCCTCCCCCCCACTGGGCACTATTCCTCCCCCCCACTGACACCAACGATGGGGCACTATTCCTCCCCCCCCACCAACGATGGGGCACTATTTCCTCCCCCCCACTGACACCAACGATGGGGCACTACTCCTCCCCCCCACTGACACCAACGATGGGGCACTATTACTCCCCCCCACTGCAACGATGGGGCACTATTCCTCCCCCCCACTGACACCAACGATGGGGCACTATTCCTCCCCCCCACTGACACCAACGATGGGGCACTATTCCTCCCCCCCACTGACACCAACGATGGGGCACTATTCCTCCCCCCCACTGACACCAACGATGGGGCACTATTCCTCCCCCCCACTGACACCAACGATGGGGCACTATTCCTCCCCCCCACTGACACCAACGATGGGGCACTATTCCTCCCCCCCACTGACACCAACGATGGGGCACTATTCCTCCCCCCCACTGACACCAACGATGGGGCACTATTCCTCCCCCCCACTGACACCAACGATGGGGCACTATTCCTCCCCCCCACTGACACCAACGATGGGGCACTATTCCTCCCCCCCACTGACACCAACGATGGGGCACTATTCCCCCCCCCACTGACACCAACGATGGGGCACTATTCCTCCCCCCCCCCACTGACACCAACGATGGGGCACTATTCCTCCCCCCCACTGACACCAACGATGGGGCACTATTCCTCCCCCCCACTGACACCAACGATGGGGCACTATTCCTCCCCCCCACTGACACCAACGATGGGGCACTATTCCTCCCCCCCACTGACACCAACGATGGGGCACTATTCCCCCCCCCACTGACCCCAACGATGGGGCACTATTCCCCCCCCCCACTGACCCCAACGATGGGGCACTATTCCTCCCCCCCACTGACCCCAACGATGGGGCACTATTCCTCCCCCCCCCCCACTGACACCAACGATGGGGCACTATTCCTCCCCCCCACTGACACCAACGATGGGGCACTATTCCTCCCCCCCACTGACACCAACGATGGGGCACTATTCCTCCCCCCCACTGACACCAACGATGGGGCACTATTCCTCCCCCCCACTGACACCAACGATGGGGCACTATTCCTCCCCCCCACTGACACCAACGATGGGGCACTATTCCTCCCCCCCACTGACACCAACGATGGGGCACTATTCCTCCCCCCCACTGACACCAACGATGGGGCACTATTCCTCCCCCCCACTGACACCAACGATGGGGCACCATTCCCCCCACTGACACCAACGATGGGGCACCATTCCCCCCACTGACACCAACGATGGGGCACCATTCCCCCCACTGCAAAATTACAGTTATGAAGTAGCAACGAAAATAATTTTATGGTTGGGGGTCACCACAACATGAGGAACTGTATTAAGGGGTCGCGGCATTAGAAAGGTTGAGAACCACTGCTCTATACGATCAAAACTCTGGAAGCAGGCATCGAACTCCTGAAAACATGGAACATCATACCAGTGGACTCTCTCCAATCCACCTCTACTCATCCACAACAAATGGATGTAGAATGGTCATGAACCAACAATTCCTTACATCACTGAACACCCAACAAGCTGGGTACCACTTCACACACCACTAAAGGTTGGCAAATGGCCCCTATCCGAACGTTTCAAGACATCAAGTTTTTTCTTCCAGCATGACATTGTTCATGAGTCAGGCTGTTCAAATCTCCCCGTTATGCAGTGGCAAAATGTTCCACACATGTTACTTGTGTTTTCTACAAGTTTTTCTTACCCTTCTCCTCTCCTCGCACCACCAGTCAATCAAGTCAACTTCTCTCTCCCCTCAAAAACCTACACCACAAGATGAAACGCCCTCCTCAAACCAGCGACCAAACCAAGCTCACTACTCCTTCCCTCTGGAAGCTCTCCACCTACGGCAAAAGGAAACCTACCTTCCTCCACAACCACAAAATCATCTCTACTACTTCATACAACCAGTCTACATCCAACAAAATGATTAACATATCATCCCTGAACGTCCGTGGCCTTAACTCCCCTTACAAGAGATCCCCACTACTAAAAGAAGCTCGCTCCTTACAAGCTGACATCTTATTCATACAGGAAACCCACATTGCCTCCACCAAAGTCCCTAAACTCAATATACATCACTTTTCTTTGATATATATGGTGACCAACCCTAAGAAAAAGAATGGTGTCATTACAGCCATAAGAGACTCCCTTCAATTCCAATGTGTCTTAGAAGTAGCAAACCCCCAAGACCATTAGCATATCCTGATCAAAATCAGCGGAATCCTATACACCCTGGTCAACGTCTACGGTCCAAATACCAACCAACTTCAATTTTTCAACAAAATCAACTCAACCATCTTTTCCCAAAGACAAGGCAGACTACTCATTGGCGGAGACTTCAGCATTATAGGTAATCCACTCCTGGACTTCCTCCAGCAAACGCTCCTCCAAACATACCTTTAACCACTTTCTAACCTCTAAACCTTCTCAGAAAACTCAAACAAATGCAATGCTATAATTCCATGTAAATATTGATAATAAAGGTATATGGTATATTAAATTAGTGCAATATACAGTTGCAAGAAAAAGTATGTGAACCCCTTGGGATTACGTGGCGTTTTGCATGAATTGGGCATAAAATGTGCTCTGAACGTCATCTCAGTCACAACAATAGAAGAACACAGTCTGCTGAACATAATACTACACAAACATTAGATGTTACCATGGTTTAATTGCACATAACATGTAAACATTCACTGTGCAGGGAGGAAAAGGTATGTGAGGCCCTAGCTTAATGACTTCTCCCAGAGCTAATTGGAGCCAGGAGTGAGCCAACCTTGACTCCAATCAGTGTGATGATATTGGATGTGTTGCTGACAGCTGTCCTGTCCTTAAAAAACACACCTGTTTTGGGTTTACTGGTTTCAAGAAGCACTGTCTGATGTGAACCATGCCTCGCAGAAAAGAGCTCTCAGAAGACCTACGATCAAGAATTGTTGACTTGCATAAAGCTGGAAAGGGTTACAAAAGTATCTCAAAAAGCCTTGATGTTCATGTGTCCACGGTAAGACGGACGGTCTACAAATGGAGAAAGTTTAGCACTGTTGCTACTCTCCCTAGGCGTGGTCGTCCTGTAAAAATGACTGCAAGAGCACAACGCAGAATGCTGCATGAGGTAAAGAAGAATCCCAGAGTGTCAGCTAAAGACCTACAGAAATCTATGGCACAAGCTAACATTTCCCATGTTACTTTCCTCACCCTTCTTCTCTTAACCTCTGGGGATATTTCAGCTCCAGAGGGGACGCAACCCCCGCTCCTGAGGGAACGCTGCCACCACCCCCCCGCCCCCGTCGGTACCCTTACCAGATGCTCTGGAGGTCCTTCCATTGCCCAGGAGGAGTACTGGGGGCCCTGTTCCCTGCGGCCTACCGCTGCCTCTACGCCCGCACCAGTACGCCGCCGTCCGCACCAGTGAGAGGGGAGCTTCCACCACCTCCTCCCCTACCTTTAGCTGCCACAGTGAGAGGAGAAGATGCAACCACCCCCACCGGCACCAAGAGGAAAGCCACCACTACCAGATCTGCTTCCCTGCTCCCCACTGTGTACCACACAGCCGTGCCCCTGCCACCGCACAGCCCCGAGCCCCGTCCAATCTGGCAGAGGCGAGCCTGCCGCGCGGCCCCTGCACCCACTGACGCCGGACCCTACAACACCTACGATCGCCGCACCCTACCGCTCCCACAGACGCTAGGCCCCTTAGCACCCTCAGTCACTGGCCCGCAGCATTTACATGCACCAGCCCACTCCACCTCCAGACGCCGGGCCTTCAGCACCTCCACTCATACCAACCCCCAGCTCAACTTGACCTAAAGACTGGAACCCTTGTTGACTGCCACCACAACAAGACACCCCCCTGCACCCCAGACTGTCCCCACTCAAGCGCCCCTGGAAACCATCCATCCACACCCGATTCCCTCTCCCTTCTCCCCTAAACTTCAGCTACCAGAAGACACATCGATGAGATAGTCCAGCGGGCAGAGGCGTATCGACAACCAAGCCTCCCACCACTCCTATCCGCCCTCCTGGGCACATCCCTAAAATGCCTCTTCCACTCCTCATTTTCCTCTCCTCCGTTTCCAAAATCCATTCACTATATCCCTCTGCTCCTCCCAAACAATTGTATATTGTATCCTCACTGCTTCCTTCACCCCTCTACGGCACCCACCACCTCCTAATACTCCACTCTCCCACTGACCCGAACACCTCCACTAGTAGTTTCACATGCTCCTGCACATCCTGCTCCCATGCCACCTTTCTCACCCTTCTCCTCCTAACCACAGGGGACATCTCCCCAAATCCTGGCCCTCCACCACCTCCCTCACCCACACAACACCCCCCCCACCTCCACATCCTGCCGCAACCCCCGCAATTTAGTATCTGTCCCCCTGCTCCCTAAAATCACCCCCCCCCCCCCCTTTTTCATGTGCACTCCTGAATGCCGATTGGTGTGCAACAAGCTTACCGCAATCCACGACCTCTTTGTTTCCCGCTCCCTCAACCTCCTAGCGATCACAGAAACCTGGATCCAGGCCACTGACTCTACCTCCCCTGCTGCACTCTCCTAAGGAGGTCTCACCTGGACCCACTCACTCAGACCCAACGGTCGTAAAGGTGGTGGGGTTGGTCTGCTCCTGTCACCACAGAGCACCTTCTGAGTCCTCCCAAACCCCCCCTCTCTATCCTTCTCCTCCTTCGAGGCCCACTGCGTCTGACTATTCTCCCCAACCCCCCTAAAGATTGCTGTGATATACCGGCCTCCTTGATCCATATCCCGCTTCCTGGATGACTTTTCCTCCTGGCTACCCTTCTTCCTCTCCTCTGAGCTACCCACCATCATCCTTGGGGATTTCAACATCCCTGTCAACCTCGACAACCCGGCCACATCCCATCTCCTCCACTTAACCTCCTCCTTTGCACTTGCACAGTGCATACAATCCACCCCCACTCCGACGGTAATATCCTTGATCTCGTCTTCTCCAACCGCTGCGCTCCCCACAACCTCACTAACACCCCCTTCCCTCTCTCTGACCACAACCTGATTACCTTCTCTATCTCCTCATACTCCAACGCCTACCCCTCCAAATGTCACACTACTACCAGCCGTAACCTCTGCACCTTAACCCTGCCCCCCTCCACTCTACAGCTGATCAACTCTGACAGCATCCTTCCCCTGTCCTGCCCCGACTTGGCTATGACTGCCTATAACAACACGCTGTCCACAGCCCTTGACTCACTAGCGCCTTTAACCACACGCAACATTAGACCCCGAACGCTCCAGCCTTGACAGACTGATCACACCAAATCCCTCAAACGACAGTCGTGCCCTGGAGCGACTTTGGCACAAAACCAAA